TCCAGAGCCTGTAAGCCTATAAAGGAAGATATTTCCAGTTAATAAAGTAAGCACTTCTACAAAGTATTTCCTTCATCTTCTTTGTTCAGCTCTAAGTTTTGTAGTTAAAGAACCTCTGTTTTTCCTACAGAACTAAGGCTACTTCAAGAAGTATCTCACAAGTGTGCAAAGATGAGTTTTACTTGCATTTGACCATGATTTCTATGATCTTTTCTAACCTTTTTCTTATTGTTTTAACTTGGTCTTTGCATGACATGAAATGTTTTTTAGCATGATTTTGTAGCTCTATGCATTGCTATCATACGTGGTACATTCTTGTACTCATGAATACTCTTGCCTACATTGTTCCCAAATGCAGGATCTGACACTCCAGCTTCCCATCTCTGTGGCTAGGGATCACTTAGTAGCTATTGAACATTGGTGAGTCCTCGTGTTTCGAGGACCAAACCTATTATTGCTTTTTATCTTTACATTTCAAATGTTGTACGTTATGCCAAGGTTACATCCCGATTGCTGTTGATGTGATAGATGACTTTAAGACTATATAAATTTCCGCTTTCTTTTACAAAAATCTTTATCATATGAATTGTCTTTTAAAATCTCTTGATTTTCTAGTATTTTGTTTATGCATGCTGAGTGGCTTGTGTGGGGCCTCTCGAGGACATATACGCCATGTTACGCCTAGGATATACTTTGGGTTGTGACAAGGCAGAATGGTGAGGGAGGCCCATGTAATTGACTTCATTTGTCACCTAAACCCTTCTACTCACCACTTTGCCAACTGAATCCTCGAACGCAGTGAAACAGAACATTTTAAACCCTTTTTGAACTACCTAGTGGTGCGTAAATTACAAACGCATCCACCAAGCTTTCCACATTATTTTAAAAAGTTACATAGGAAATGACATGTTAAAACAAATTTCCTTTTTATTTCATACCTCCATTTCTTTCTTTTTAAGTTCAACCAGACCCTCATACTCTCTCTTGGCCCGATTCCATTGTTGATTACTGCAATTTGTTTTTTATTTTTTCTAAGGTGTTTGAGTTCACATTTCACTCTATAGTTGTAAGTTTATATGTTTTTTTTGCAGTTGTTTTTGGTGTTTGATTTTGGATTTTGTTGTATTTTAGGGTTTTAGGGGTTAGAACTTTTGTAGAGCTTATGTTATGATTTTTGGAAGAAGTTTGATTTGTTTCATGCCTTATATACGCATAATAGCAATTTGTAAAGTTGTTATGCATCAATGACAGAATATCCTCTTTCCACAAAAAAACAAAATGTTCTCATGCAGTACCATTTAATCTTTTGTACTGATTCTGGAGTATTGCCTTTTGTTTCTTTTACTCCAACAAGTCCACCATATACAGGAGAGTACTTAAAGTGAGGTTAAAAATCATCTAAACTATCATACTTTATTCATGTTATCTTATTGGCAAAACTATAGGTACTTTGTGGCAACTGAACCGCATAAGACAACACCATAATAAAATAACTAATTTAGTTCTAGTAATAAGTTTTCATGAGGTTTTGTTTCTTAAAAACTTACCTAAAAACATATTTTCTAGAGGCATCAAGGGCTTCTGTTCATGTAAGTTGTGAGTCAATTAATGACCACCTTTCAACATTCTCTAAGAGATGATCTACACCTTGCTAAATACTATACAAGAATTATTATCTAAACAGACACTAAGAACAAATCTGTAAAAATCAGTAAGAGAACAATAAAGAAAATACTTTAATATAGAATCATATGTAAGAATCAATCAAAAAATCATGAAGTAAATACTTGAAAAGAGAAAACAAAACAGCAAAGAGTATTTTGGGATCCAATAAACACCATAGTAACAAAATGAGAACTCAAAAGTCTAACATGCGTACACAGTAACAAAATATAATATCCCAAAATGAAAATCATAAAGTGAAACTTATAAAATCAATAAATTCCATCAATCCATTAAATTATTATGAGAGACTAACAACCATCCTTGTAATTGCTTCAACTAACTCTTCCATACCCAACAACTTCCTAGATTTCTGACAGATTATCTAAATCACCATCAGTGTTTTCACCAACATCAAAAGAATCACGAGGTTGAACCTTTCGCACAACATGCCATCCTTTATTCGAAAGATTGTCAACATAAAATACTTGTGATGCTTGGTTGGCTAATACAAAAGGCTCATTTACTTTCAATAATCATTTTCGGTAAACACTTACGAAGCCATATTCATCTACTTTAATTCCCTTTCTTGGTCATACACATCAAACCATGCACATCGAAACAACATCACTCTTCTTCCACCAACAAATTGTAATTCAAGAATTTCAGTTAACTCTCCATAGTAATCAATAGTTTTATTCTCTTCATCAGTCTCACCAACTACAATCACCTCGCAATTTTGAGTTCTCAAGCCTTTATCATGGTCTTGCACTTGAAATCTATATCCATTAGTAACATAGCTTTTGAAACTTGTCACATATGGCAGAGGACCACGTGACAGTGAGAACAAATATTCTATTTGCTTACTATCATCATGTTTGCGCAATTCTGCAACCTATCAAACTAAGTATGTATACACAATTTAGCAAATGTTATTCGCAAATTAATTTAAAATATAAAATCTTAACTACTCACCTTAATTTGTAACCAACTAATGAATTGTCTATTCCATTCGATCTCTGAATCATTCTTAGAGGTATCAAATGGAACTTGTGAAAATTCTCTACAAAGAATTTAAAGTATAATATGTCATTTTAAGTATGGAAATATGGAAAGGTAAAAGTCAATTATTTGAATTAGTTATTACTTACTCAAGAAATTGTTGAATTTCATCACAATTCTTTAGAATATAAAAGTGTGCCTGCTCAAATTCAGCTTCTCATGCCTACGGTTTCAACTTTAGGATGGCATAGTCTGAAAGTTTTTCCTTTTTTCCTCATGTTAGCAAACTAGAAAACATGTTGATCATAATTCTAGTATATAATAACTAATATAAACTTATTCTATCATTTCTATGATATTCAGGAATTAATAGATTTAGCTATGCATAATCATGAATATGTGTACCTGTGTAGTATCTGCAATGTTTTGATCCATAGCTTAACTTGAACTTTAGTTTTTTATTGAGAGAATATTTTGTATATATTGAGAGAATATTTTTGTTACAAAGAGGCTTTGCTTTCCGTGTAGAAAGTCTTGCCTATCTATGCCATAATGGCTATCTATTTATACAAATATAAGTAACCCTACTATAGTTACTTTAATCTATACTATAGTTACTTTACATCTAACTATAGTTACTTTACTTAATCTATACTATAGTTAATTTGCATCTAACTATAGTTACTTTACATATTTAATACTATTCACACTTTTGTACATATTACTACTAATCTAACACGTTGGTACTACTACTTTACCTAAAGTCTTCCACTATCTTTACTTTACATAAAGTCTTTCCATTATCTCTTCTATTCCACTTAGCTTATTCCACTTAGCTTATCCGTAGCTTTTTTCTTTTATTTTGTCGGCCTCTTTACTCTAGGTTGACAGCTGGAATTACATTATCTTCACC